GAGGGAAACCTTTTCAAGAAAGCCAAAGGTACATCCTTGGCCGAGTGACGACTCGGGAGGGAAACCTTATCAGGAAAATCGAAGGTACATCCTTGGCCGAGTGACGACTCGGGAGGGAAACCTTTTGAAGAAAGTCGAAGGTACATCCTTGGCCGAGTGACGACTTGGAAGGGAAACCTTTTCAAGAAAGCCAAAGGTACATCCTTGGCCGAGTGACGACTCGGGAGGGAAACCTTATCAGGAAAATCGAAGGTACATCCTTGGTCGAGTGACGACTCGAGAGGGAAACCTTTTCAAGAAAGCCAAAGGTACATCCTTGGCCGAGCGACGACTCGGGAGGAAAACCTTTTCAAGAAACCAAAGGTACATCCTTGTCCGAGTGACGACTTAGGAGGGAAACCTTTTCAGGAAAACTGAAGGTACATCCTTGGCCGAGTGACAACTCGGGAGGGAAGCCTTTTCAGGAAAGCCGAAGGTACTTCCTTAGCCGAGTGACAACTCGGGAGGGAAACATTTTCAAGAAAGCAAAAGGTACATCCTTGGCCAAGTGATGACTTGGGAGGGAAACCTTTACAAGAAAGCCAAAGGTACATCCTTGGCTGAGTGACGACTCGGGAGGAAAACCTTATCAGGAAATTCGAAGGCACATCCTTGGCCGAGTGATGACTCGGGAGGGAAACCTTTTCAAGAAATCCGAAGGTACATCCTTGGCCGAGTGACGACTCGAGAGGGAAACCTTTTCAAGAAACCAAGGGTACATCCTTGGCCGAGTGACGACTCGGGAGGGAAACCTTTTCAAGAAGCCAAAGGTATATCCTTGGCCGAGTGATGACTCGAAAGGGAAACCTTTTCAAGAAAGCCAAAGGTACATCCTTGGCCGAGTGACGACTCGGTAGGAAAACCTTATCAGGAAAATCGAAGGTACATCCTTGGCCGAGTGACGACTCGAGAGGGAAACCTTTTCAAGAAAGCCAAAGGTACATCCTTGGCCGAGCGACGACTCAGGAGGGAAACTTTTTCAGGAAACCAAAGATACATCCTTGGCCGAGTGACGACTCGGGAGGGAAACCTTTTCAGAAAACCAAAGGTACATCCTTGGCCGAGTGACGACTCGGGAGGGAAACCTTTTCAAGAAAGCCGAAGGTACATCCTTGGCCAAGTGACGACTCGGGAGGGAAACCTTTTCCAGAAACTAAAGGTACATCCTTGGCCGAGTGACAACTCGGGAGGGAAACATCAGGAAAATCGAAGGTACATCATTGGCCGAGTGACGACTCGGGAGGGAAACCTTTTCAAGAAGGTCAAAGGTACATCCTTGGCCGAGTGACGACTTGGGAGGGAAGTCTTGTGAGCGAAATCCGAAGGCACATCCTTGGCCGAGTGGGTCACTCGGGAGGGAAGCCTTGTGAGAGAAATTCGAAGGCACGTCCTTGGCCGAGTGACGACTCGGGAGGGAAGCCTTCTGAGTTAATATTCGAGCAAATAGTAAAGAGGAAAGTGCTAAATGAGAGTGATTTGTACTTCATTGATTGGTGTCTCGTTAAAAACCTTGTCGGCCAAAACCCTTTTTCACATATTTATAAGGGTAGAAATGACCGATGAAGGAAAAGAGTGCACCTTTGTGTATACATCATTTCAAACATACATCAGCTTCTCTTCTTCCCCATAGTTTCAGCTCGAGCTTGGTTGCGAAAATCAGCTAGCTCTTCTAATTCATAGTTAATAATTATGATGATCGTAATTTATAAAATAGATATTTTTGATCATAACATACAAAAATATAGTTTCTATTTGTATTTTAGATAGAACTCAACAAGTTATGGTTTTTATAAATAGTCTACAATTCAAAAGCATCATTGCTAGTTGTTAAATTTAAAGTACTCTCTAGATGAGTGATGATGTGTGTAGTGAACTAAGCTTTGGTAGAGTGGATGAATTTTTATCATCTTATGAAACCTAGATACTTAATACAACATTGGTATATAATATGACACGAATATATGTTTAAGGATATATTTTTTTTTAAATTAAGGATACGAAGCATTATGGATATGTTTAAAAATAATATAGAAAATTTTATATAAATACGAAATATTAGTAAAAAAAGGGAGAGGAAAATATTGATTATTTCACTAATTCATAATTCGTAGTTGATAATTATGATGATCGTAATTTATAAAAAAGATATTTTTGATCATAACAAACAAAAATATAGTTTCTATTTGTATTTTAGATAGAACTCAACAAGTTATGGTTTTTATAAATAGTCTACAATTCAAAAGCATCATTGCTAGTTGTTAAATTTAAAGTACTCTCTAATGCTAACATTATTAGTTTATTCTCCCCATTACTATCATCCAAAAAAAGCATAGCTTCTAAATTTGACTTATCAAGAGACAGATTTGCTCATTCAAGAATTCCAGCAGTATTATCATCAAGTGAATCATGAACATCCCTATACATATCCCATAGTCTTGTCTTATTTATTTATTTTGTATAAACTTCACTTTTCCTAGACAAAAGTCAAAGGTTTGAGTGCATATAAATCAAAATTTCAATCCTTTTGGATCCATTTTGTTTCTTTTCAAAGAATGAAAGAAGGAGTATGTACTTTAATTCCTCTCACAATATGAAGAAAAACATGCTTGCGCAAAAAGTTTTAAGGCAAGCTTTTGGAGTAGAGGGATAAAAGTTCCACACATCACCCACCATGTTTTTGGATCTAATACTCACCTATCCTTAATTGAATCAAAAGAACCAAAGTCAGTCGACAAGAAGAGAATTTGGAGAATTCCTTATAAATGTTTTTTCTCTCCTCAACATGTGTAAAATCTCATTAGACATTTGTTTCTCTCTCTAGAAACTTGATCATCTTGATGTGGAGGAACTCTATTTGGAGTTTCACTAAGCCCACTTCACTATAATACCTAATAATAATAATAATAATAATAATAATAATAATAATAAGTTTAGTCATATTATGATTTTGTTGTCCAAAGAGAAGACAATCATTAATCATTGAATTTGAAAAATTACCTTGGATTTAGAGAATGAGCTAAGTAATGAAGAGGAGTACAACTTTTGCTCCATCTATAATTAAGGATATCATTGACTTGCTTTTCCTCGTGCTTATAAAGGGTTACCTTCACCTTTTCTATCATAGAATCCCACATTTCATACACCAAATGAAAAGTAGAAGCATCAATATCACATATTCTAACATGTTATATATGGGATCCGTAAAAGAAAGAATGTCATCTATTTTATCCCACCATATATCATTCAAAACGATTTCTTTAACATCTGCAACTTTTCCAATATCATTTTCCCTATAACTATTCCATTGGTCACAAATGACTATGTTTTGCAAGCTACATTTAACAATTCTAATCTTTTTAGCATGACTATCATAGAGGCAAAACGAGTATCAACTATCAAAAGCAATTTTAGAGCAGAAAACTCATTAAAAATAGTTAATCTCATTAAATAATTCATGATAAAAGTCTTGATAAATATTGTATCATCAATTTCTTCAAAAATCCACCTACAATCATTGAAAACATCTTCATTTCTATCAATATTCTTTGTTGTGCATATATTTTTCACTGTAAGATTCAAAGTATGAACCATACAAAGGGTCCGAAATAGATGAGAGGATTCAACTTCAATTAACAATCTAACTGCCTTACAAACAAGAACAATATCAATTATAATTTGGACCACATTTTGTGGTCCTACCTCCTTGGTCACATCTTTTATTAAGTTAGTCATGTAATCCTTGTCCTTATACTCCTTGGACCCATCAATAGCTTTTAAAAATATAGACCTTCTTCACCTATAGCCATGGAATTTATCAGAGGTCTTCTTTTAGCATATGTCTAGCCATCATCAACCAATGTAACTCCTTTGAAAGTCCACAAAGATTTGATAGGTTGAAACAACCTCTCAATACGAGTTATCTTTTGTTGTAAAAAAAGTAGTTAATGCATTATAACTAAGAGGAAGAAAGCCACTAAGATTGATGTTAGCAGAAAATGAATAAGAACTAACAAAATGTGGAGTTCTAGAAAGATGGAATGATAGGCCAATGGAATAAAACCTTCTTGCTATCTTTGCTTTAAGTTGATTCCTATCCTTAACACTAAAGGCATTTTCTATATTTCCTGTTTCTTTTCTTTTTTTGTGGTAATGTTAGTGGCATTAAAGTCCTTTTATCGATAGGCAATAAAGCATTTTTAGGCTTTAATCAATTTTTAGCATCTTCTCAAACTTTTTTCAAATTAACCAAATATGCAATATTAACTTAAGGACATAGAAATTCCAACACTTAAAGTTCTTAGCAAATATGCTTTCACCCTAGAGTATGAACTTTTAACTACTTTTTCACAAAAATTGCGACTTCTCAACCTATTTCCACACCCATTTCCTATCTTTTCCTTTATAGTAATAAATGCCCATAATGGAGCATGATCATCTTGAGGTTTTGAGGTAGCAAATCTACTAGTAATAGTAGACATTTTTTTCCGTCAAGAAATAGAGATAATAATTGAATGTTTAGATATTTAGAGTGCACAGACTCACAACTAGAACATAACAAGATTGAACTTACTACACGATTGGGAAGGAGATCCAAAATTCGCCAGAGGACAAACCACAACTATCGAGAGATTCAAAATCCATCAATGAAAAAAAACCCCAAAATCCAGAGCCAGTAAAAGACGACTTGGTACCATTAAAAGAGAAAAGAGACCTAATTGAAGAAAAACAAAACCACGTCAGAAGATGTGCAAAAATAGAGAAAGGTCGTTGCTTGAAGAGAGAGTCAAAAATATCATGCACCACTCGAGAGAAAGTCGTTGGGAAGAAACCCACCAATCCGAATTGTCATCGGAATGTGCAGAGCTGAGAAAAAGAGAGAACACGTATGGAATGAGAAATAGGTATATGGAGTTTTGCATAAAATGTGTCACTAACGTGTAAAGTACACATATTTACTTTTAAAAGGGTTTTTCCTTCTTTGTTTTTAGGGGAGTAAACTTAACTGATATCATTCAAAATAAGAGGTGCAATACATGTTGGGATGAAATAAAAAACGTGAGAGCTAGCATAGTATCTTGATGCCCTAGCTAAGGAGTGAGCGACATGATTTTCTTGTCTCCAGATGAACCTGACCAATAGGTTTGGATGAGAGTTGAGTAGAGAACGACATCTATGTAGAGTGTGACCGTATTCTAAATAATAGATGGAGTTTAGGATGTCCTCCACAACTTGTTTAGAATCTAATTCTAGTATGACATGGGTATAACCTTGATCACACACCCACCAGATGGATTCTAGGAGAGTCGTGGCTTCTGCTTCGTGGGACGGGGATACTCCATAGAACCAGCCTGACTTGGCCTTAATGAGGGACCCAGTTGCATCATGTAAACAGATTCCAAAGCCCACTTTGTTGTCTTCCTTAAATATGGCTGCATCAACATTTCCTTTGATGAAGCCTACTTGTGGGCATGTCCAGCTACCAGGAGATGATGACTGTGTGGGAGGAGGATGTTCCTTTGTTCGTGCATGCTGCCATTCCTCAAACTTCTGCATGGCTTGGGAGATAGCAAGATGAGGAGGAATAGTGGTGTTTGACCAGGTCTTGTCATTGCGACGCCGCCAGATACACCATAGGCTGACCACCATTTTGACTATGTTTTCGTGGCTGAGGCTATTTAACAGATGGCTGAGCGTCTCCTTGAAACCATTGCCATTGTTTATAGCGTGAGATATGAGAGTCCAAATTCCAGAAGCATTCCAGATGGCTTGGGCTTCAGCGCAGTCAAAGAATAAGTACCATCCATTTTCCAGACCCGTGTTACAGTGGGCAGAAAGGATAATGCATGGCACACCTCGTTGTTGTAGCTGATAGCGAGAGGGTAAACAATCTCTTAGTATTCTCCAAAGGAAGATCTTCATTGTTTACGGTAGCTTAAGTTTCCATAGTTGCAGCCAGTTACCCGATTCCCTAAGGTGTGAGTTGGAGATAAGTGACTCCATGATATAGTAATACGCTGATTTGATGGTATAACTACCCTTTCTAGAGAGGTTCCAAGTGATGGAGTCCCTTTCATGAAGGTGAGTGAGAGGTATGACAGTTATGGCAGATACATCTTACTGGGAAAACAACAAAGAAAGAAGCTCATGGTTCCATGTACCTGAATCTGTGTTAATGAGATGGGATACCAGTAGGTTCTCATGACCTGGTGGACTAGGTGTGGTCACATATGGATTTGCAGAGATTCGCAACCAAGGATCCCTCCATACATGAATGTCTTGACCGTTACCTATACACCATCTCAAGCCGCCCTTAACCACCACATGTGAAGCGTGGATGCTACGCCAAACATAACTTGGGTTGTGGCCCAACTGAGCCCCCAAAAAGTCCCCTCTTGGGAAGTATTTTGCCTTGAAAATGCGAGTTAAGATAGCATCTTGGTTGGTTAGAAACTTCCAACCTTGCTTCCCTAGCATGGCTAAGTTGAAACTGTGGAGATGATGAAATCCCATTCCACCATGTTCTTTTCGCATAGATACCTTTTCCCAGTTTAACCAATGTATTCCATGACCAACATTTCTGTTTGAACCCCACCAAAAGGAGTTCATCATCCTTTGTATTTCATCATTGAACGTGGTTGGGAGGAGAAAAGTGCTCATGCAATACGAAGGGATTGCTTGAGCGACAAATTTCAAGAGTATTTCCCGCCCTGCTTTGGATAAGTGCTTGCCCGACCAGTGGTTAATTTTCCTCCAAATCCTGTCCTTAATGTTGTTAAATATGGCCTTTTTCTTACGACCAATCATGGATGGTAGGATTAGGTATTTGCCCGTACCCATACATTCTGTGACACCCATAATGTTATTGATAGCCTCACCCATACATCCTTTTAAAATTTTAAAACTAAAAAAAATTAAAATATTAATACAACATACATTTGGGTAAAAAAATGTATCCAAGCCACATCACTTGTTATAAAGTCATATCCGACCATCATGAGTTGTGTTATAGTCGTATCCAATAATTTTAAAATAAATAAATAAAAATAATGAAAAGCTCCTTGGATACCTGGTAAATTTTTTTAAAAAAACTTCATAGACCTAAAACGTATTAAATCTTTAATAAAATAATAAAATGTTTTATCACATTAAAAAAAATAACAATGTTAACAAACCTAAAATAGATATACTATATTTTTTTATATTCAATTTACTTTTATACAACAAGTTATTATAAAGTATTATATAAATAACTTTAAGGACTAAAACAAATGCATCTCCAAATTAAAAGGACAAAAATAGGACAAAAAAAATGAGAAACTAGAAACAAACTTGAAATTTTGTAGAAAAATAAAAAATATAACTTACCTTTTTATAAATTTAATACATGAAAAAATTAATAATAAAGATAACAAGATATTATAATTGTATCACTTTATATCTTAAATATAAAAAGAAATATATAATTTTATTTTATTTTTAAAATAATATAAAAATTATAATACAATTGTATAGATTTAAAGAAAAAATGGGTCATTCTTGGTTATGGTCCTATGTGATTGCCCCTACAATCAAGGTTCATTGGTCTTGCTTATTTTACAAGTTAGTTTTAGTAGGCTTGTTTAATTTAATAAATTATGTTTTACATTAAATTTTAATAATTTAATCATTAAATTAAAAATTCTTATTATATAAATCAAATCTATAATTAAAAAAAAATTAAAATCATATGATACTTCATTATATAGATTTAAATCAATATATAAAATATTTTTATAATTAATTGTCAATTTGAATTAATGAAACAAAATATTAAATAGTTTTTAAATTATTTAAAAAAAATTATACTTAATCTATGTATTAGAAATTTTTAAATTAATGATTGAGTCATTAAAATTTGATGTATAACAAAAATTATAAATTAAAATAATTTTATTACTCTTAAAGTAAATTATTACTCACACCTTTTTTTAATTGGAGTACATTTATGATGTACACAAAAATTTTAAGACAAAAAAACACTCATTTTTTTTGCTTCAATTAATTTGTGACAAGGACATTTTAGTAATTTGAAATTAATTTATTAAAATAATTAAAAACTTTTTCTCTATTTTCAACTTTTTTTTTCTTCTATCATTTGCGATTGCGACTCATTCTCTTCATCCACAAAGAGACTTTTGGTCAAGTCTGATCTCAAGAGTGTCAAGTGGCGGTGCTAGCCCCTTGTCGTGGCAGACTCCGACGTGAATGCGCATTGTAGAGCTGTCAAAACGGGCTACCCGGCCCGGCCCACCACGGGTTGACTATTTGGTGGGCCAACCCAACTCGACTCATTTATCAGTGAGATAAAAAAAAATAGAACCCGGCCCGGCCCACCACGGGTTGGTGGGTTAAACGGGTTGGCTCACCTTTAAAAAAAAATTTCATTTTTTTTCTTAATATCAACTAAAGCCCAAAAATTTAAACCTATTTTAAAAATCTGAGATTCTTAATTAAGACATTCATAAATGAATCATTCATCCCAAACATTAAATGATAATTTTAAATACAATCAAGTCAAATCTAAATAATCTCAAATAGATAAATATAATTCAAAATCATCTTAAACTTTAAATATAATCCAAAATCATCTTAAACTTCAAATACAATCCAAAATCATAAAAATTACAAATCACAATCCAACATTAAATCATTATTGTCTCATGTTGGACTGCACTATGGCCCAATAATTGTTGTATTTTTTTTTTTAAAATTAATCACGGGTTGGTGGGCCAGCCCGGCTCACCACGGGTTCAACCCGGGTGAGCCAGGTTGTTAGTGAGTCGGGTTCAAATTTGACCCGTATTAAAATTTTCAAATTTTTTTTAATCCAACCCGGCTCGAACCCGTGGTGGGCCAGGTTGGCTCACCGGGCCAAGCCCATTTTGACAACTCTAGCGCATTGTGAGTGTTTAATCTCTCTCCTATAAACCTATAAAAAAAATCTATAATAGATAATAAGTTAGACTTAGGATTTAATTTTACAGAACATGTTGAGTCTATATATTCAAAGCTTGACTTACCTTAACCTATTCTCATTCCTAATAATGTCTTTTGAATTTTTTTAATGTAATATAGTATTATTTTATTTTATCCATAATTTTTAAAAAAATATTATTAAACAGTGTATAATGACATAATATTTTCTCATCTATAATTTAAACTTAATTTTTCTTAATTGATATTATATATATTATTTGCAAACTATGATTAAAATAATTTTTTATTAATTATATGCAATATCCACATAATGTAATATGCAACTTTTAAAAATCTCTCCTCTAGTCTTAGGTTGGTTATCACAACTGAACAACACCATACCTAAATGCTTAAATCATTCTCAACATTCATCATCTCAACTTTCAACTAGCAACTCACAACGCAATCAACACATCCAACATCATCCATACAACTTATTCATCCTCATTTAGTCATCAAACAACTCAATCAACAAGTATTTAAGAATTCATGTTTTTCATTTAGCAATCAATGCTTGACGCCACACACTTAGTGTCTGACACCGTCTAGGTAGGGAACTCTCAACCTTGTCCACGCTTAACGTTACACAACCCACACCTGATGTGGCTAAGACAAAGGCCTCTAAGGCCTCGCGCTTGACATGTTAAGGTACCACATCTAACCCCATCTTGGGCAAGGAGTCTTTGCTTGACTCATGCCCGACATCACCATGCTGACATTTGACGTCATCCAAACATTGAGTCCTAACTTGGCCAAGCTGGGCGCCAATCAACTTTGGGTCTAATGTCACCAAGTTAGAAACCTCCCATTACTTTCACGTCCAATGCCATTCAAATCATGCTCGACGTCATCTCAATCTACGATGAGTCTTTCTTCTCGTGTCCAATGCCACTGATCTTACACTAGACGTGATCGAAACAGATAATCTCATGTTGAAATGATGCTTGATGCTATGAAGGTGCACGTGACGTGATATCAAAATTTTACATGTGCAAAATCCAATTTTGACCTAAAACCTGAAATTCAACAAGGACCCAACACATGCAACACCAAACAGTATACACATCATAATCAACACATACATGCACTTAAAATCAAGACGCAACAACACTTCGTTTAAAACCATCACATTCTTGTTATGAATCTTAGACCCCAACCTTTACATGAAATTTCTCTATTTCAATCAACTCCACCATAGTATTTAAAATCCAAACAATATTCAACACCCAAATCATCCAACAAATCCAATAATATCGCATAAAAGCCACTAATCCAACCTTTCTTACCCTAAAGCAGCATGAAACCAAGGTAAAAGAGAAGAAAATGAGGTTCTTTGCACTTCACATATTGGATTATGGATTTCCACAACTTGAATCACAACAAACAATCTAAAATCAACTAGGAAAGAGAATAAATTTAGAAACATAATAGATTCATGGGAAAAAAAGTCCATGAACTAGAATCAATCTCTTTAGAGTTTTCTTCCTCTAAAATTTAGAAAACTTGAGTTTATGAGACTCTATTCTAAATAAACATATTATATACTTTTCTTTTAGAGATTAAATTGACCTTTATCATTACTGAAATTTTTAAAGAATTTTTATATTTTATATTCTCTCATTGAAAAAAAGACAATTAAAATTTATAATGATAAACAATTAGATTTAAAATAATTATAATAATCTAAAACTGATGTTAAAAAATAAACAATTGTAATATCAAAGGAATGAAAATTTTTATAGTGACTCCAATCAAAATATAAAATAACTCATTTTTTATAGAAAAAAAACATATTTAAACAATTTTTTTTCTATCTCTTCGTGTCTATAATTCTATTATTTTTATGCTTTATAAAACTTAAATAATAAATAATAAACATAAATTGAAAATAACAACTAATTTTTTAATTTTTTTAAAAAAAATAATAAAACAGCTCACCATTAATGATCAAATAAAAAATCTCATTAAATCTTGTTCTGGGCTTGTTCCGTTCATTTCATTATCTTCTCCATTTTGTTATATTATATAACCCTAGCTCCGGAGAACTCCCATCTTTCGTTCATTGTCTGTGTTTCACTCATTCCCCTCAACTCTCTTCCTCCAAACCCTAATTCAGATTTCAATCTTCACTCTCTTCGCCTACCACCAGATCTCTAAGCGCGCCTCTGTTTCCACTGATTAAGCATCAAAATTCACTAATTTTATTTTCAACATCCCAAGCACAATCAACCGTTCCTCTTCTCCCGATTCTAGCATTCGAGAGAAGCTACTTTGTTATTTCCGTTTCGATTAAGTTATTTTATCCTATTTATATCGATAAACAGCGAGGTTGGGCGTTAGAGTTGGAAATTATTAAGAGCGTGCGAGAAAAATTACAGGTAATAGGGAAATCGCGTTGGTGATCTAAAATGGTGGGAGGTGGAAGCAGGAGGGATGAAGGTTCGTTGGTTTTGAACAACACGAACGTGTTTGCGGCGCTGGACACGCTCAAGAAGAAGAAGAAGTCCGATAAGGACCGCAAGACCAAGGGCTCCTCCACCAAATCCCAGGGCCAGTCCACCAAAACCGAGGCCCAAGTCTTTTGGGCCCCCGCCCCGTTGAACGCCGTATCTTGGGCCGATGTTGATGACGATGACGATTACTATGCCACCACGGCACCGCCTCAATCTGTGTGGGGCGTTTCCGAACCTCAACACAGTCAGGAGGATAAACATGAAAATTTTGAGGTTCGGGGATTTGTTTTTATTGTTGTTTATTTATCTCTTTTTCACTGTATGGACAGATAAAATGATTCTCCTGAATTCAATTGCTTCCTTTTATAGGATATACTCGTGTTTAGTTTGAATATTCTTTGTTATTATTGTGTGAGTTGATTCCATGTGAATTTTGGTTTAAATAATTAGGTGTGTGTTTAGAATCCCGTTGAGAAGTAAGAAATCGTGGCTGAATTGTGGAAGCTATGACTACTATCTTCTTTGTCACGTTAAGACAGGAATCATGATGCAAAAGCAACTGATTGTTGTTTTCACTGATCCACATCTGGATAAAACTGATGTGAATCCAGACATGCTCTATCTTTCAATTTTTTAGTAAACGTGAAAAATCACATCTAGGATTTGGATCCAAACACACCATATGTAGGTTTGAACATAACTGTGTTTCATGTATGTAATGTTTTGTTATAGTTGTACTCTATCTTTGGAAATAATGCATATATGTTGATTGGTTTTGTTTTTCTGGAATTTAGTTTGTTCTAGATTCGTTGTTTGTATAGTGGCAATTGGCAAAGTAGAGGTTGATATCGGCATAAAAGTATGTAATGATTTTTTGTGTATGTTTGGTGGTATTGTTTTTTTTTTTTTTTTTTTGCTTAATCAGATGGCTAGAATAGTCCTATGCTGCTACAGATGTGGTGCTTTATAGTTGATAAGGTTTCTGATTACAGGATAGTGAGAGTGAGGAAGATATTTTGGATGAAGGGGACGATGAGGTGGAGGAAGAGCATGATCACGAACCAGAAGAATCTGTGAAACCTGAACATGAGGTTAAGAAGGAAGCTGATGTTTCCGTGCCACCCCAAAAGGAGCCAGAACGGCAGCTCTCTAAAAAAGAAAGGAAGAAGAAGGAACTTGCTGAGCTAGAAGCTCTTCTAGCTGATTTTGGAGTTGCACCGAAGCAAAGTAATGATGGTCAAGAGGAGTCACAAGGTAAATTTGTAGAACTGTGCCACATTATTGTTGTTGAATCTTGCTCAAATAAGATGTTATGAAATTGCATTTGCAGGTGCTCCTCAGGATAAGAAAGGTGTTGAGACTGATGGTGATGGAGAAAAGAAGGAAAATGTCAATGCAGAGTCCAAAACTTCCAAGAAAAAGAAGAAGAAGGATAAAGCTTCCAAGGAGGTGAAAGAATCTCAGGATCAACCCAATAGTTCAGACACAAACAATGGGCCTGATTTGGCCTCAGGCTCTGAAAATGTGGATACATCTACTGTCGAAAATGTGGAGGAGGATACATCTGCTGTTGATGTGAAAGAGCGTCTTAAGAAAGTTGCTTCTATGAAGAAGAAGAAATCTAGTAAAGAAATGGATGCTGCTGCAAGAGCTGCTGCTCAAGAGGCTGCTGCAAGAAGTGCAAGGCTTGCTGCTGCTAAGAAAAAAGAGAAGAACCACTATAACCAGCAGCCTGTGCGGTAAAAGAACCTTGCTCGTTAACATCAATACAGGAATTTGTATTTCTTGTTCATATGATGATGCCGAATAAACAGTGGGCCTTTTGCTCTGGTGAGTGGTGATGACTCTAGTAGTATCCAGGTGTGGACCTGAGAAATTTTCATCTAGCTTTTTTTGGAAATTAGTGTTGTTCAATTGTTATGGATTTGCTATTTGGGCAAAGAAAAATTTAGCTTTAAATATTACCTGAACTGCATAGTTGTGTATTGATGTTCTTATATGTCTGTCCATGGCTGATCAGTTAGTTCCTACTGAGAGAAGTTTATGTTTATTCTATAGAAAATGTTATTCTATAGAAACTGCTGTGATGCTTTTAAAGTTATTATAAACCTTACGATATTGATTCGATTTGTTTGTAGTTGAGGTTCATGTCGTTGGTGCAATCGGAATGGTTTTAGAGAATGCTCTAATTATGCTATCTTTAGCTTGGCTTGGGTGTTTATACACTGATGTCAGTTGTTACAATCAATCTAAACGTATAATGCGCTAGGTGCACACCAATTGAATCACTTTTCATTCTATATGTAAAAAATAGAATGCAAATATGCAAAAAGCGAGAGGTTAGGTCTCATCAGATGGTGAAAACTACGTTGATAAGCGATGTGATTTGATTTTTCCATCTAGGGAGCACGTTTGGATAAGATATTCTTAAAGTAATTGTTTCCCCCCTCATCAAAACAGGCTATTTACAACCGTTCGTAGTAGTTAACCATGTTTTCAACTAATATTTTATAATCTAGTTTACACTTTAGAGTAAGGTCTATCGTAAGATTAAAATATATTATATACATGATGTATAGTTGTATAGACAATAAATTTAGCATTACTAGCAAATGGATTAGCAACTCATGTAATAAATTAAGTACTCATAATTGACTAGTGATAATAAATTCAGATTCCAAAGTTTGAATCATAGCTTTGATCTCATTCATAACATAGGGTTTTCTGATTCATTTTAACATTTTTTTTATTGAATGAAATTGAAGAGAATCTTATTAAATAAAAAATGATACATTTAGACTTTAAATATGATTTTTATGTGATTAAAAAAATGATTTTTTTGATTTTTTTTTATACAATGTAAAATATTATATTTCATTATACTTTTATAAAAGTGCATTGAAATCATTAGGATGAATTTAGTGATCACGGTTAAAGTTGAATTCTAACATTCTTATTATAATTGTTATGGATTAAAAAAATATTCTCAATAATTTATAATATGACATTTTTCCTTCTCCTTTATGGCATTGGGTCGAGATAAATTTATGAGGAATTTACGCTCATTCTTTAGCATATGCTATTTATTTATTTATTTTTATAACATCTTCACTTATGTACTATTATGGAGTGAATTTTGTGTATTCTACTAAATGATGTGGCTCTCATATCTTATAGATAGATTAGTCTCATTATTATGCATCAGTATTAAATATTAAAAAGAAATGATATTCCTCTTTAAAAACATAGTATGCACAGGGAGTGAATCCATGTTATTTAGTATAGAATAATTGCATATATCTTATAACTTTCTTTTCTATAGTCCTACTTATTTAATGGAGAAAGAGTATTAAATATTTTAAATTTTTATCATGCTTTTCTTATATGATATTAAGAGAATTAATAGAAAGATATTGCAATAAAACACATTATTGCTGTATAGTCTAACTCTTATAAGTTTTACTTGCTGTCTAAAAAACTAATAAACTAGTAACTAACCCACTATTCCAACTAACAACATCTCTAACAAAAATTAAAATAAAATTAACAACCAACACATTCATTTGATAGCAATCATGTGATATAGCGGGTCAATGGTGAACGTTGGGTTGTAGCAATTCAGGATCTTCTGGCTTTTATTGAAACATGTTCTAAAGAAAGAAAGAACTAAAATTTCCCCCCTTTTTATATATAAAAATATAGAGAGATGAAACACATCTATCTTCCATAACTTGTGAGAAAAAAACCTATTTTGTGACTCAAATTTATGTCTGTACTTGTCTAAGGGATACTCGTAATCTTCTGGTAACTGGAGGGCTGAACAAGAGCTCCGGGCGGTTGCTTCAGAGGGAGGAGGTACCTACAAAAGGCACTCCGACACTCAAGTCAAGACAGACACGATTCTCGAAAGTAATAAATGAACAGCGACGTACCTCGTTTTATGTGACCTATTTATATTACTTGTCATGAGCCCTGAACGTGGTGAGCCTTTCAAAGATGTTGGGAAGATCCGGCATAAAGTAGCGTCATCAATTGTGCTGAGAGTGACTTGGGTGAGAAAAATGTCCACATGCTCGTCGGGCTCAGACATCCCGTTATACTTGTCCTATGGGAGGGACTTCCAGTGGTCGAGGAGGGAGGTTTGCATGATGTTTGGTGTGAATGGGTGTCAGTGTGCCTCGACCGGTGTGGTGTGGATCGGTCGGGCAGGGGTTTGGGCAGCCGAAGCATGATTGCCTGGGGCGATGGCGGAGGTATGAGGGAGAGAGGTGTGGTGTCCGAGTGAGTGGAATGACCCCTGGGTGTACATTCGGGTCGGCTCGGAGGGCTTCCATGTGGGGTCTTGGTTCTTCAAGGCAGCATTCTCTTCCATCAGGGTGGCCATTTCCCGCGCATCTTTTTCCCTTTGTTGTTTCATGGCAGCCATCTCCTCCTTTAACTGTCGTACCGTCTCCGACAGGTTCGTCTCATCAACCACTTCGACGTGGTCCTCATCGGATCGGTGTTCCTTTTCGGATCGGTGGTCTTCAGTGCTGGTCTTCCTTATCTTTGCCATAGTGCTATCGCTCAGTTTGTCTACTTAAGTCTCTCGGTTCGACCCCACGATGGGCGCCAAAATGTACCTGTCTAAGGACACACTCGTAATCTTCTAGTAACTGGAGGGCCAAACAAGAGCTCCGGGCGGTTGCTTTAGAGGGGGGAGGTACCTACAAAAGGCACTCCGACGCTCAAGTCAGGACAGGCATGATTCTCGAAAGTAATAAATGAACAGTGACGTACCTCGTTTTATGTGACCTATTTATACTACTTGTCATGGGCCCTGAATGTGGTGGGCCTCTTATGACACTTACCAAATTAGGTAATATAGTGCTAATTGACTGATTATGCCTTAATTGTGTGTTTGTCCATGTTAATCATGATCATTGTCCTAACTACTATCTGGGTCTATCGGCCCTTGGCCGAGCCGATAGGAAAAGGTCGGGATAATTCTTCGTTCTCGGCCTTTGGCCGAGCTGATATAAAAAAGGTTGGATTGTCCCTCGTTTTAGGCCCTCTACCGAGCCGAGGCCGTGTTCGAGACCCGTGTCAATGTCTGATAGGACATCACGTGTCGGTCCACGTGGCCGATAGGACCCTTGTGTCGATGCTTGATAGGACATCACATGTCGGTCCACGTGGCCGATAGGATCCTTCCGGTACTATGATCATCGCCCTAATCGTTGCCTGGCCTTCTTGGCCGTTGGCCGAGTCGAGAGGTAAAGGGTTGGAGTTGCCCTTTGTTCTCGACCTTTTGTCGGGCCGAGACGCTGATAAGAAGGTTAACTAATAACAGCCCTAGCTAAGCCATTGATGGTCTTGTAGGTTTGTTATTACGGTCATGGCCGTGTCCGAGAGTCGTCTCGGAGGCTGATAGGCTATCACGTGTCGACCCACGTGGCCGATAGGACCCTTCCGGTACACAAGCCCCCCAGCCTTGATGAGCGAAGCGACGTAGAGGGTAATACTTGTCTGGGAGGTATACTCGTAATCTTCTTATAATCTGAAGGTCGAATAGGTTTAAGCTGTCGAGGGTGCCAAACGGGTTTAGGCTACCGAAGGTGCCGAACGGGTTTAGGCTGCCGAAGCTGCCGAATGAGTTTAGGCTGCCAAGGCATAACGAACAGGTTTAGGCTGCCAAGGCGTAACGAACAGGTTTAGGCTGTCGAGGCTGCCAACGGGTTCAGGCTGCCGAAGGTGCCGAATGGGTTTAGGCTGCCGAAGGTGTCAAACAGGCTTAGGTTGCCGAGGCTGCCAAACAGGTTTAGGCTACTGAAGGTGCCGAACGGGTTCAGGCTATCGAGGGTGTCGAACGGGTTTAGGCTATCGAAGGTGCCAAAATGGGTTCAGGTTGTCGAAGGTGCCGAATGGGCTTAGGCTGCCGAGGGTGCTGAAATGGGTTCAGGTTGCTGAAGGTGCCGAATGGGTTTAGGCTGCCGAAGGTGACGAACAGGTTTAGGCTGCCGAGGATGACGAACGGGTTTAGGCTACCGAAGCTGGCGAACGAGTTTAGGCTGTCGAGGGTGCTGAACGGGTTCAGGCTGCCGAGGGTTCCGAAACGGGCTCAAGCTGTCGAAGGTGCCGAAGGGGCTTAGGCTATCGAGGGTGCTGAAACGGGTTCAAGCTGCCGAAGGTGCCGAAGGGGTTGAGGCTGCCGAGGTTGAAGGTGTCGAACAGGTTTAGGCAACCGAGGCTGCCAAACGGGTTTAGGGTGCCGAAACGGGTTCAGGCTACCGAAGGTGCCGAATGGGTTCATGCTGCCGAAGCTGCCGAATGGGTTTAGGCTGCCAAGGCGTAATGAACATGTTTAGGCTGCCAAGGCCTAACGAATAGGTTTAGGTTGTCGAGGGTGCCAAACGGGTTCAAGCTGCCGAAGGTACCGAATGGGTTTACGCTGCCGAAGGTGCCAAACAAGTTTAGGCTGCCGAGGCTACCAAATGGGTTTAGGCTATCGAAGGTGCCGAACGGGTTCAGGCTGTCGAGGGTGCCAAACGGGTTCAGGCTGCCGAAGGATCCAAAATGGGTTCAGGCTGCCGAAGGTGCCGAATGGGTTTAGGCTGCCGAAGGTGACGAACAGGTTTAGGCTGCTGAGACTGCTGAACGAGTTTAGGCTACCGAAGGTGATGAACGGGTGACGAACGGGTTCAGGCTGTCGAGGGTGCCGAACGGGTTCAGGCTGCGGAGGGTGCCAAAACGGGTTCAGGCTGTCAAAGGTGCCGAAGGGGCTTAGGCTACCGAGGGTGCCGAAACGGGTTCAGGCTGCCGAAGGTGCCGAAGGGGTTTAGGCTGCCGAGGGTGCCGAAACGGGTTTAGGCTACCGAAGGTGCCGAATGGGTTCAGGCTGTCGAAGGTGCCGAATAAGTTTAGGTTGTCGAAGGTGTCAAACAGGTTAGGCAGCCGAGGGTACCGAACGGGTTTAGGATACCGAAGGTGCCGAACGGGTTCAAGCTGTCGAGGGTGCCGAACGGGTTCAGGCTGCCAAAGGTGTCGAATGGGTTCAGGGTGCCGAAACGGGTTCAGGCTACCGAAGGTGCCGAATGGGTTTAGGCTGTCGAGGGTGCTGAATGGGTTCAGGCTGTCGAACGTGTCGAATGGGTTCAGGCTGCCGAGAG